AAAATGTAGGGGAAGAATGCCAATGATCCAAACTTCCATTAGGAAATTAAATAATGGTACGTCCACGAAATGGAATGAAATTCAGTGCAACAATAAAAAAGAATTTTGTTGCCTCAAGGATATGTGAAGTGGGATGAAGAGGGGGATGTTTCCGCTTTTTATTATTTTCTTTCTATGTGTTTATATTACTTCAATTAAAATTAAAATAATAAAAATAAAAAATGATGATTATAGAAAATTTTCAAAATGAAAGAGAAGTGGTTTTTCATTTGGGAAGCAATTATATTTCCCTAATCTGTATCTAATTTGGAAATGTACTTGATTCTGCAAACTGATTACCTTTCCAAAATATAATCAGGTTTTGTTTGGAGGAAGGGTAGACTGGCTATCATTTTGATACTGGTAGCATTAGTTATCTATTTAAGCCACAAACTCAGTGGCTTAAAACAAACATAGTTGTCTCACAGTTTCTGTGGTGAGTCAAGATCCAGGCACAGCCCAGCTGCATTCTCTGCTTCAGTATCTCTCATAAGACGACAACCAAGGTGTCAACCAGGGCTGAGGTCTCATCTGAAAGTGTGACGATGGAAGGACCTGCTTCCCAGCTCACTTACATGCTTGGTGGTAGAATTAAGTTCCTTTGGGTTGTTGGGTGGAGGGCCTCAGTTCCTAGCTGACTGTTGGCCAGAGGCCTCCCTCGGTTCTTTGCCACATGGCCTTCCCTAACATGGCACCTAGTTTCATCAGAGCTGGCATGGGAGAGGGCTGGCTAGCACAATAGAAGTTACAGTCTTATGTAATGCCATTACTGAAGTGACACCCCATCATCTTTTCCATTAGTTCGAAGCAAGTCACAGTCCCCACCCACACCCAAGGGGAGGAAATTACACAAGAGCATGAGAACCAGGAGGAGGGCATCTTGGCATCTGTCTGCCACAGTGATTCACACCTGGATCTACCAACCAAGTTCTAGGTATCATTAACAGCAGAAGCTAGGAATTCTTGTTGAAAGTTCTTTTTATCACTGAGGAAATCCTAGACTCTCAACAGAATGTTTAAATTTTCTCAAAGTTCACACCAATGGAAAGAAAAGTTCCTTGACTGAAGGTAAAACTTTTTTGCTAAGACCAATTATTTTTGTAGGTAAGAGTTGTCACATAACCCAATTGCCAATATGTCAGTGCTATCTCCCAAGTCTCTTTCCCACTCATGTTGTCCTTCCTATTTCCTCTGCCATTTTTTGTTTTAAGCCCTGTAAACAACAGCCTCTTCACCCATCTTCATGCCTCCAAGCTTGTGTCTGTGCCATCTGCCCTCCCCACAGTTGCAGGAGTGACTTTTCCAATCAATAAATCTGATCATATCCAAGCCTCTAAATCCTTCAATGACTCCGTTTTACCCATGGGACCAGTTCTAGGATTCTTGGTATATCCTGAGGTGCTGGTTCATAACCAAGATCCTGCCTAACTCTCCACTCTAATCTGCCAAATTTTCCTCTGTTTTTTGTTTGTTTGTTTGCAATTCAGGCTCTAGTAACATGCATTCACCTACTTTCTTCAGGAAGCACACACCTTTTCAAACTACCATGCCTTTACTTATATTTTCCCTAACATTCTTATCCTTACTATTTCCTGGAAAACTCCTGTTCATTTTTCAAATTTTACCTAAAATGTTATTACATGGTGGTCCAGAGCCAGGATTCCAAGATGGTGAATTGAATACATGCATATAATTTTGCTCCCTCTAAAAACCCCACTATGGGACAATTTGTGTGACATAGTTCACAACCTCTACAAAGAAATTTCTGGCATCTTGATAAAAAGCTGGTACTTTAAAAAGAAAAAATAAACCTTTGATGTGATTAAGATTGGACACCAGTTCCCTACATAACATCTGTCAGCCAGAATTTAGTGATTTTTAACCAAATATTCTTTCTTTTTGTGTTATAAGGGATTAAAATATTAAAAAGAAAGCACTTTTGCCCTGACTTGTGTGACTCAGTTGGCTGGGTGTTGTCCCACAAAGCAAAAGATCACCAGTTCAATTCCCATGCCTGCACATGCCTGGGTTATGGATTTGTTCAAGATGGATAGATGTTTCTCTGTCACATCAATGTTTCTCTCCCTTTCTTTCTCTCTCCCTTCCGCTTTCTCTAAAAATAAATAAATAAAATTTTTTAATGGAAAATAACAGTTCTTTGTTGAATAATCATAGGCCAGAGTATCAAGGACATGGTTGATCATTTGCCAAGAGGTTATTAAGACAGAAGTAAAGTCTACCCTATTTATACAGCCAAGGAGGTGCAATCCTTTTATACTGCTCTGTTTTTAAGATTTTATTTACTTATTTTTAGACAGTGGGGAAGAGAGAAAGAGAGGGAGAAAAACATCAGTGTGTGATTGCCTCTTACGCTCCCCGTGCTGGGTACTTAGCCCTGCAACCCAGGCATGTGCCCTACTGGGAATTGAACCGGTGACCCTTTGGTGACACTCAATCCACTGAGCCACACCAGCCAGGGCTATACTGCTCTAATTTTAGTCATTATATTTGTGGATTCTCAAGATGAATAGTAACCTGTCCTCCTCTGAGGAGACTTAACAGCACCATCTGCCATACTGTCTTTCATCGTTTATGCTAAATTCACCTTCATCAGAGGAAAAATAAAAATTTTCTTATTTCTAGGAGAAGCAGATGCCTAGAGGCTAAACTCCCACAGTGACAGGGACATGGAGCACTTTCTCCCTAGAGGTTTACATTTCAAAGGAATGACTTCCTGACTTTTGAAAAATTATGTTTCTGGGTTGTAAAGCAGTCAAAAGGCTAACTCAGGAGAAGTTTATGTGGTGTATGTTACATTAATTAATACATTAAAGTATATATATACATATGAATATCCTTTCATATATATACGTTCTTCACTAGGTGGGACCAGCCTCCCCAGTACAAATTGCAAAATGTTTAGCATTCTTTGCCCCATCACAAAATACCAGTAATGTCCACCTTTCACCCTCACCTCAAGCAGTGCAGACATAACAAAAGAAAGAGAGGGAGAGAGAGAAGAAAACTGTCCTCACAGGTCTTAAAATACCTCCTAGAAGGGATGATGCCCAGGTCAGGTGACCAACTCATCTAGACTTGCTCAGAAAGTTCCCATTTAACTTTCAAAGTTTTAGCCTTGAAAGTTTTCTGTCCCAGAAAACCCATCAACTCCAGGCAAACTGGGATAGTTGGTCACCCTAACTCCCTACCACACACACAAACACACACACCATCATCTAATTATGTACATGTGGCAATGCTTTGGGACTCTGGTTCAGTCCCTTACCAGCTCTGTGACTAAGCAAGTGTCTTCACAGTTTTGGTTGGTAGATTTTTTGTCTGTTCAGTGGAATAGTGCATCTGGGCTGGTGTGAGAATTCAGCACCAAATAAATGCCCTTAGCTCTTGTGTAAATCAGGCCTCAGTTCTTCACCAGAGCTCCCACACCAATTTTCATTTATCCTTTCTTTACAGAAATTAGCTTATTGTACCCTAAGTGTTATTATATCTAAATGCCAACCAGAAAAGGAGCCTTTGTGAGCAAGGATATACCCTTGTAGTTCCTAATACAGTGGCGGGCAGGTAGGAGGTGTTTGATAAGGATTGGTTAATAGCTGTTTAATTAATACCATTATATTTTATCAGCCTCTACATCAGTCGTGCCTTTGTTAGAGCTCCCATAGTGATATCACAGTGCTCCTCATCAGCCTTCATTGACTGAATGTTTTCTTAGGATGACAGTCACCAGCAGCACAGACACAAGTGACCCCCTACTTACTGAGTGTATGTGTTCATAGTGAGAGCTACATGAGCCTACCCAGAGTTGTGATTTCAAAAGGACTTTATTCACCCAAGTGTTCCCACTGTGGGCTCCTAACCAGTGTCTCACAGTCTCTTTTCCTTGTGCAAGTGAATTGTGTTCATGAAGTCTTCTCTATCATTTTCTCCTTGGTGGGAACCCCTCAACTAGATTCAGCCTTCAGAGGGTCTTGGAGGGCAGAGAGTAGTGAGACCAAGAAGGATGTAGCCCTGGAGAAGGTCAAGGGCATCAGTGATCATAAGCAGGTTCCACAGGCCCCTGCCACAGAAGGTGACATCCTCATATTGTCTCCTGGTACAGGCCTGAGTCTGTACCTTTTGCACATGTGTAGTTAACTGGCTGCTATTACCAACTAAATTTTGTGATTTAACAGTTCCTGAGGGCAGGGACCCTGATATAGTGCTGAGCATATACAAGTTACTTCAAAAAGTTGTGTTTGAATGGATAATTGTTCCAAGACAACACTCTGTAGTGATACCATAAAGTTGATAGAATGGGATATTGATTACTTCGATAGAATACACCTCCTAGAATTGAGAAATTTACCAGTATAAGACATGGTCAGTGTCCTTGAGGGCAGCTTCAGCGGATGGATCACTGTGGCCTGGCTCTTTTGGTGAGTGCCTCAAACAAGGGAATAGTTTAGCTGAGTTAGGAGAGGTTGGATATAGCAGGCTCTGTGGTCCAGAAAAGGAAAGGAGGTAAGCTTAGATGACAGAGAGACTGACTTAGGGTTAAAATAATGTTGCAAAGTTAATAAGAGCCTCTCCTGAAACGAATCAGCCCAGCAGATGGAGCTGGCCACCATCATGCTCTTTTTCTCATCAAGTTTTTCAATTAAATTTGAAACCTTTTTTAAAAATCAGAGAAATCAGTGATACTGTTCCCAGGTAAAATGCCCAAATGTTTTCCAAATGTTGCATGGGACTTACACTAAAAAATTGTTCATTATTTATCTGGAATTCAAATGTAAATGCTTTCTGTGGTTTTATTTGCTAAATTTGGCAATGCTAATCAATGAGGTGTAAGATGCATTTCACAGAAATTCACATTACAGCCTATCTCCATGTAAATATCTTTAAAGAGATGCAACTCTTAACTTATACACACATACATCAGACCACAAAATGCAGAGAATAATTCTTCTTTTATGGGTTCCATGTTATTTTGACAGCGTTCAGGTCAAACTCAGATTCTGTTAGAAGCCCCACAGGCCAGTTTTATCTGTGGAACAGAAGAGGCCTCATGTATGAGAATGACGTTGGAGTTGATCTAAAATGTTAGAAGCCGTGTCTCTTGAAATATTTGGCTCGTGCAAGGACATCATTGCAGAAGTCACAGCTCAAGTCCTGGCTGCTTCTGATGTAGCCAGGACCTCCGACATAGGCACAGAGTCCACCTGGAATTTGTGAGACAGGTTAATGCTGACTCCACAGCCCCTCATTGCTTCAGGATGCTCAGCTGTTAACTTAGATTCTCTTTCCTCATGCTTATCATAAGCAACTAAGGTTTTGGGGAATCTGGCACAATGTATTACATTTGTCCCCATTATTCCATGCAGTAAAGCCACCGACCTTGGGTTTACACCTACCTCTCAGGCACTGGTCAGGGGTCCAGGTTGGGAATCTCTTCTGGATTTCTTTGATTCTAACAGTCAGGACATTAGTCATCTGGGAAAGCTGGGACTCGCTGATCCAGGGTGTGGGAACATAATGGCCCGTGTCCTAAAAGGAGGGAAGCAGAGGAAAATCCCAGTAAACCAGGTGAGAGGGTGATGTGGCTTCATACTATCAGTGTTTTCTCATTTCCCTTGTCCTTCTCTCCTCCTCCTTTGGTGAAACCAATGCCACATTCAGTCTTTCTGGGGACAAATAGTAAAGCTAAAAAGTTTAGGCAAAGGAAGGAAGGGGCAGACATTTCACAGCTTCCTCAAATGCAATGGTGAGAGGCAGGGTTGAAAGCCAAGGTTGAGAGGTAGTATAGGTCCCATTCTGATGCCCTCCTTCATCACTGCAATCAAAACCCCTCCAAAATAGGCCTGAATGGGTTTTTTTTTCTCTCTGTACTTGTAATTATCCTTCTAGATAATCAGGATGTCTAAGGGTACCACTCACTTTTCTTCTATACTGTTGGTTACTATTCCATATGTCTTTCACCGTATTTAAAAGGAATATCTGACTCTGGAAAATTCTTTCTTCATCTTCAAAGGAAATCCATCCTTTTCCCAAGAACAAGATTTTACAAAGGAGGCAGAATAGGGTGGCAGTAATTGTGCTTGCACTAAATCACCAAAGTTGTCCTTGGTCCCATTCTGCATTTTCTAGCTGTCACATGACTTTTCAGTAATGTCAATCTCCTCATAAATTCACTTCCTCATCTATCTCAGTTGACCACATTATTATGGGTTCCCAAATCAAAATAGGATAAAATGTTTAAAAGTACTTTTAAATTGTAAAGTGTCATACAAAGAACTAATGGGAAGTCAATTTAAAAGTCATTGAGGGATACACTTTCCTAAAAGCTTGACAAAGGACTGCAATACTTACAGATTTATCAACAACTACAACAATGTGAAATGTAATAGAGAATTGTGGCCTCAGGTTTTCCCCTGCCACCACTCATTCTCCTAGCACAGAGTAAATTTGACAGTGGGCTAATTAATGACCAGTTCCCTGGAAGTCCCAGGTGAAACCGGGCAGAATTCCTGTGAAATAGAACTTGACCTTCAGAACTAAGAATGCTGTAGAAAAAAAGACAGGGAATATAAAATATGACATTTGTTGTGAATCTACCAGATGCCAAGTACTTTTTCACATTATTTTATTGAATCTTCATAATAGTTCTGAGGATGGCATTTTATAGGTGAGGAGACTGAGGCCCAGGGAGATCAAATTTATCCAAGGTCATGTGGTTACAAAATAACAGAGCAAAGTTTCAGTCTGTGATATTTCTCCTGCATGACCTGTTTGGAAATCCACAACAGGGTGACAATGATGATATCCTGGAAACAGCATAATTTACTCTGAAAAAGAATTGTGCCTCAAAATGAAGCAGAAACAGAGCTACTCATCTCTCATAGGCAGAGCTTGACTCTCACCACTCCAGGGAGCCCATTTACTCTACTAGGGGTCTATGCCCCAGGGGTTCTGTCCACACAACAAATGTGATGGTGTCCTTTGGAGTTGTGCCACACACACAGCCCACTGGCCACATGAAGGGTTACCTGTACCACCCTGACTCCATCTCCCACATTGCCCGCATTGACAAGAATGTTGCCAGCAGGAGACTCCCTGGACACGACACCAGCGATCACTGCAGGATCCACACAGTACTTTTGGCCAACAGTATGTATGATGGGTTGAAATCTCAGTAGGTATGGCATATCTATTTCAGCCAGCCTTTCAGAAGCACGAACTCCTAAAGCAAACACAGAAGGAAAGATGTGGCTTGGTGTGACTTGCGCTGAAATGGGAGCTCAAAAGGAGAGAGGAAGCCCTGGCTGGCATAGCTCAGTGGATTGAGCGCAGGCTGCAAACCAAAGTGTTGCAGGTTCGATTCCCAGCCAGGTACATGCCTGGGTTGCAAGCTATAACCCCCAGGAACCGCACATTGACATTTCTCTCTATCTCCCTCCCTTCCTTCTCTGTAAATAAATAAATAAATAAATAAATAATCTTAAAAAAAATAAGGAGAGAGGAAATATAACCCAAGGTTCTGGGCAGCAGTTGAGGACTGAGAAGCCCATGCTTGGGTCTGAAATTTCTTGTGACCATTCCTAGAACTGAGATTGTGATTCTATTCCTTGGAGCTTGGGTTGGCTTCCCCTGACACATGCCCTTTGTGGCTACCAGTGCCCCTGAGCCAAGGAGCTCACATCCTCCCAGGAAAATTGCATGGGCACAGTCCCCACTGGCCCCATCCTAAGCACCCAAATATTTACCCAGTAAAATGCACATCCAGCAGCTACAACAAATACCTGATATGAAGAAATTCTCCCAAACCCTTCCCAAATCCCTTGGAGAGCTTCTTTGACAGATGTGCTCACTCTTCTTGCCCACCTTTCCACCCTATAGTGACACCTAGACATCATGTGTGCTTAAACCTTTATGAAATACAAAGAATGCTGAGCAAAGTGAAAACCAATCCTAACGTACCTGGCTAACCCACTCAACCTTCTAAGCACATTTATGGTTTCAAAAGCACTGTCATTCACATTACTGACCAGAGTTTGTAACAACACTGTAAAGTAAGTTCTATTATCCCCATCTCAGCAGAGTTCAGGGAAGCTAAGTGACTTGAAGAAGCAGAACCAGCACTCAACAAGATCTTTGGACTCCACGTCCAGTGCTCTTTTCACCACTTCATAGTGTGGGACTGTGGGAAACAGTGGAAACCAAAGTGGTATGTTGAAAATCAAAACCTATGGAAAAATGACTGAGAGACACAGGTGTAGGGTATCAAGAGCAGGGACAAATCCTGTTGAAGCCACCCATGCCTAACAGAGTCACCTGAGAGAAAGGAAGAGGAGAAAGAGGGTAAGGTGGACAATGACATTCTAGCTACCACAGTAGTTCAGGCCTCGGCGTCTTCCAATTCCACAAGATGCCCCAGGAGTATCGAGGGTTCGGATGTTTCCATAGCATCCCAAACTGCCACTTTCAGATGAGTCTACAAATTGAGAAAATTTCAACCTGAGACAATGAACTAGAGTAGTTCTGATCATCCTTCTGCCCATGAAAGAAATGACATGAATAAACATAACTATACTGAAATCAATAATTAATAAGAACTTCACTCTGCAATGGAAACACTTTTGAAATTTATAGTATAGTGACTAAGAACTTATTATAGAACTTCCTAGATACTAAATTCTCACCTCATATCTTGCAGACATGAGGAACTATTGGAGCAGTTCTATTCCTTGCAAAGCTCTGGAGATGCCCAAAGCTGTAGAATGTAGTGCTGGAGTCAAATCAGAGATTGTGTGTTCCCTGTGGGCTATGTCTCATCTTCCATTTTATGTTCTCTCAGAACTTCTCCCTCCAATACTCTAATTCATTGGTCTGAGAAGATACTTAGATCTGTTCTGGAGAAACACATATAAAGCCTGAGACTCCCTGGGATCTCAGCCAGACCCCAAGAACAGGGACTGCTGGTAAACTGATTTGGAGCTGGCTTCCCCTGCTCTCAGCGCATATCTGCGTGGGTGTTTAGGATGGCAAAGAGGGGAGGGCATGTGGTGAGGTACAGGGCCAGGTTTCCAAGTGGGGCTCCCTCTTTCCACTTCTCCCCTTTCTCTCTTTGCTCTTCATTTTCTCTTTAACCACCACTGTCATTTCCAGTGCTGAGGGGAAAGAGAGGTTTTACAAACTGTTGGGATTCCACAAAAAACACTAAAGAGGACATTCCCAAGTATTTATCACTCACACCAGAAAGAGGGCATACACACCAATAACAAGATACTATAGGTGGCAAGAAATTGCCCCTTGAGAGCATAGTCTCACTATTATAAGCCTGTAAGGACTTCTCAACAGATTACTCTTTTTGATTTGTTTTATTCTTTGACAAAAGTAGATTATATCATTAAATCTTAATGATTTACAGCTCTTTGGAAATATGCCTATTGCTTATCTTCATATGTGTACTGCATGTTTACTAAATGTATTTTAAAGTTCTCTTTTCTTATGAAGAACTTCATGGGGTTAACATCTGAATATACTAGTATTTTGGAGTACGTACTTCTACTTTAAAAACTTCTGATGAGTAATCTAAGAGAAACAAGAAAATGAAATTACTTGGTCTTTTATGAATATACTAAAAGTTAAATGAGCCAACGTGTCCTTTTAGCTTTTTAAATAGAACACTCTATTTTTATAATTGGTGACAAATACCCTTAATAGTAACTGGTTGTATCATTCATTGCTCCCTGCTTTTTATTCACTCCCAAACTACATTACATGTTCCTCAAAGTTCCCTATACTCACAACATTCCTTACAAGAATTTAAAAATACTTGTTGACTGAGTGGGTCAACAAATAAATGAATGAATGTAAGACTGACCCCTATCTGAGAAGCTTTTAGAATTTAGAGGCAGGAAAAAAACTTTTGTTTCTCTTGAGGAACTATGCTTCCTCCCTTTATTTATCTAAAAACATGTACTTTTCCTTTTTTGCTCCAGCTACAAGGAAACAGGATCAAATCTGAAATTCAAGCATTGCAAGGATGTCAGCCTCAGTGGTTAGCTTAGTCACGTTTCCTTGGTCCCCTCCATGCTAGTTTTCTACTGAATTACATTAGTCTCATTATGTAAGCTGCCTCCATTCTTCTATGGAAATATACACTCTATTAATAAATTCAACACATACTTTTGATGAAAGAGTTTTTATAGAGAAACAATGAGCAGTTATCAGGCAATTCTGTTTTAAACCCACCCAGCATTGGGGAGAAGCCCCTCCTTCTGTGGGACACCCAGAAGAGGCTGCTTATCAGCACTGTTACTAACTCCAGGATTTGGCAAACAGCTTAGGAAAAAATAACATTTTGCACTGCACTTTTACATGTGAGAAGTGCCATTATAATTCTTTGCTTATCCTTCCCAACTCCAAGGTCATTTGGAAAAAATAAAATGCACTCACCAGTAAGGGCAAGGAGGCCCAGAAGCAGCCACAGCACAGACATACCGATGATCCTACTCTCCGAGTCCTAAAGTGATTTTAAAATACAAATTAGCTCAAAGTTGTGAAAATATCAGTTGTCATCACAACAATATATAATGTTTCTATGGAAAGGTATTTTAAAAAGAGAGAGAGAACAAGTTTCCTTATGTCTGAACTAAGAAAATTAGTGATTTGAATCATAATGAAAAAGCAAAAACTGGATGTGTGCTCCATCTATCCTTTCAATTAGCTTAAAATGGCAAGACTCCTGCTCAGCCAGAGGGACTCTAATTGTTTTAAGAAGCCAAGATTGCCCTGGCCAGGTGGCTTGGTTGGTTAGAGTGCTGTTACTCTGATATGCCAAGGTTGCAGGTTTGATTCCCCAGTTAGGGCACATACAGGAGTCAACCAATGAATGCATAAATAAGTGGAGCAACAAATTGATGTTCCTCTCTCTCTCTCTCTCTCATCAATACATTTTTAAAAATTTTTTTCAAAGGTCCCTGGCTGGCATAGCTCAGTGGATTGAGCACAGGCTGCGAACCAAAGTGTCGCAGGTTCGATTCCCAGCCAGGGTACATGCTTAGGTTGCAGGCCATAACCCCCAGCAACCACACATTGATGTTTCTCTCTCTCTCTCTCTCTCTGTCTCCCTCCCTTCCCTCTCTAAAAGTGAATAAATAAAAAATCTTTAAAAAAATATTTTTAAAAAAGGAAGCCAAGATACTTTGGCTCTCAACACTGAGAAGCATACTGACCTGACTCCAGATCCTGAAAAGCAAGTTTTATCCCAATAGTTTCTTTGTTGTCAAAAGATAATACAACAAGGAGAAAACTGTGTCCATGTTTCTCTTAATTTGGGTTTTTTTTTCAGGTTAGAGGAAAGGTTATGTTTTCCTAAGTGTTTTGGAACACATTCTTTGCTTTGGTTGTTGGAAGGAGTTGGAAGACACTGCCCACTGGTCTAAGCCCCCAGCCTGAGAGCTTAGACCCCCTTGGCAACCTTGAGCCATGTTCCCCATTCCCCTTCTGTCGAACTCCCAAGTGGGAAAAATCTTGGACCAGAGCCCAAGGTGGGAGTATGGAGAGGCAGGCTACTTCCACCAGCAAAGTCAAATCCCTTGAAGGCGGATCATGGCAGGGGTCCAGGACTGAACTCATAAGGTGCTTACTCTAGGGGAGAATTGACACTGGTCACCATCAAGCACTTGCTCTCACACTTGCTCTCATGAACTCTCTTTCTTCCCAACCATTCCTATAATCATCTTCTATGTGTCCAAACAGCCTTTGTTCCCCCACTAGCTAGCAAACAAATGCACAAATGCCACTGAGCATAGTTTGCAGTTGACCCCAGGGAATACTGGAGGAACAGGCCGTATGCCCCCAAATCCTCCACCTCCCAGCAGCTCCTCCTACTGCAGGGTGTTCACATCACCTCCCTTAGTTGGCTAAGCCTGGCTACCTATCATTTTGAATTATAACTATTATTATAGGTAGGAGTGTGCATTTAAATATGGCATTCATCACTTTTCATAATGTTCTTCTCATCTCTTTTTTTTCAAGGTTGTTCTTATGGGTGGTTCTTTCCAAACACCCAGAAATAGATTACATCTCAAGACAAAAAAGAGTTTTTGAGGTGAGTCCTAGACTTATTGGGGGATCACTTCAGAAGTCTAACCACTGTATGGTACACATGTAACTAATATATACTGAATGTTAACTATAATTGAAAAAATCTTAAATTAAAAACAAAAACAAAAAAAGTGAAGAAGAGATGGTAAGGAAGACATTTGAGTGAAATGTTCTTATACCGAGGGGTCGCGTGCCCTCAGACGTGGCCATTTTGTTTTTCTTCCCCAGCACATTGAGATGGTCCACCTGATTTCCCTCCATTGAACAGAAATAGTCATGCTGAGTCTCAGTGCCAAAAATATACAGGAACTTGAAATGTTGGCTGGTTCTGTAGGGACTCTAAGATTCAACCACCCAGCTGGAATCATTTATTCAGCACCCACAGAGGTGCCAGCACTGAATGAGAGAAGACACTCAGTCCCAGGAAAGAGAACAGAAAAGGAGCCACTTAAGCAAGGAAAAGCCCAGAGAAAGTTAATCTCTAAGAGACTTCTCCCTGGCTTTATGGAGAGGACCCTGCTGGAAAAAAGGACTGCTTGTATCCAGATGCTAAACCCATGGCATTTTTTGCTTTTCTGTGGGAACAAAAAACTTCCTCTTGGAAACCCAAGTGGAAGAATGGAACATGAAAGCTACCTCATTCTCCAAGCATAAATAAATATCTGTGGAGCATGCACTGAATGAAAAGAGTCTAGGTAAATACATAATTACTTAAAAACACAGAATTCCTTTCTGTCATGTTTTCTGGTTATAACAGGAAAGAGCAAGAAGCAACAAGGGACATAAACACTACATGTTGATACAAGCCAAGTTCCATAACACTCTACAGGTGCCTAGAAGTATTCTGTGGTAGAAGAGGTTGCCAGGGCATTGCTGGAGTGTGCCCAGGGAGAGTCCATCAGTTACCTATGACTAATCCATTAATAATCCCGTGGCTCCCAACTCTTATTAAGATGTCTGGCTAAGACAGCACAGGGCTCATGATGCCCACCCAGAACAATGTCCATGATGGCATCCATCCTCTCCCTTCCTGGAGAGCAAAACAGTGACAAACAGCATGCCAGTGGCAACAAACTGGAAGAGCGGTAGGATAGCTGGGCACCCTGGAAACTGACAACTTGCGTCTCCCACCAGCACAATTCAAGTTCACCTCTCTCCACCTCATACTTTGCAATTTCTATAGCATCACTTAGATTTGTAAGACATAATAGACGATTTCTTTCTCCTTTAAATAATTGTTTTTGGAAAAAGTGGAAATAAAGGTCTTTGTTTTTTGTAATTCCCTCACCAAATGACTCTCATTCTTTTTCTGTGAATGCTCTCCCAGATCTTTGCCATAAACCTTGATCCATAGCCACTCTGGTTCTTAGGGTCCTCAAGGCAGCCTGGAATGTGTATTGTATTAAAATCCTGTGATGCTGGGAGATGAAGGTGGCTGTGTCCTGTTATGGCCCCCATTTGATCCTGGAAGAATTGAGAGCTGCTGTACACACCCCCACTAGGCATGGCCTTTTGCTCTGTGTTGTATTTGTCACCCTGATTTTGTTACTACCTTGTCTTGTTGCTTGCTCGCTTGTGGGCTGATAGGCCTTTCCATCATGTCTTAGTCCTACACCCTCTTCCTGTCCCATCTTTCCCCTCCCTCCTCACACAAACACAACACCCCAGCTCATCACCTCACAGATGGCTACATACCAACAGGCCTTAAATTAAAATAATAGCAATGACAGTCACAAATATAAAATGTTTCTGCTACTAGGATCACATACCCTTGAGAAAAATTTAACTTTTTAGAGTAAAATATAAGCTCCTTTTAAACTCACTTTTTACAAAGTTGCATTTTCACATGGTCTGTGAAAATATATATTTACTGAATTGGATGGTTGACAGTGATTATTAGCCCAGGAGAGCTCAGAGGATCCATCGTGTGTCTTCACACTCTGTAGGCAAATCCTTTCCTTGTCCAGAAAGATCTAAAAGGGATAGCCTTCCATCTAGGTGGCCCCTGGGCCTGCTTTGCCATTTGGAATTCCCAGAGTTGAGAACAACAGGAGGACTTCTCTCCTGGTACTGAGGACTCTCCCAGGAATATCCCATCTGAACAAAGATTAAATAACAGAGACCATGACCTCTCTATTCCATCCAGGACTGCTGAAGTGTAGCTATCCTTTTACTCTATCAAGCTTAATCTGTTAGACATGTTGGCCTTAGTTCTTTCGCAGCTTCCAGAAAAAACAGGACTCTGTTATTGAACCACCACTTAAGGTCCATGGGGTTAAGGTAACCTTGGCAGCAATGAGCATAAGGAAGGAGAAGAGATTACCACCTGGCAAAATACAAACAAGCTCTGTTCTTTGGCTTTGAATTAACAAAAAAAGATATCCATTTGGCCTGTACAGCTTCTGTTAAATGTACACATGTTTCTGTTCTCCTGTTCTTTGTTTTACAGATGTTCACAAATCCAAAAGTATATATGTACATTAAAATAAATTAAAATTTGCCTACATATTTTAATGAACAAGAAAAAATTATTCTAATATGTACATAATCATTTATAACTTGGGTTTTCCTTGCCAGTTCCTTTAGTTTTATCTGATTTCTACTTCTCTTGTTTCCTGAACAGCAAAGACACAGGAATTATCAATCAATCACCATAGACAGGATTGTTCACCCTAGATAAGCCTGAGCATCAATTTCACAGATCTGTTTACACTCACCTGTCTTCCCTTAGCTCTTGTCCTCAGAGGCAGGCAGGCCACCAATGCTTATATATAGCCCTGTCCTGCTTTGTCTTTTTAAAAGTGTTGACTTCATCCTATTATGAAAAGATTTATTGCTAAGTCTTACAAATTATAGTAATGATCATAATAATTACAAATACTTTGAACTTATATAAGGTCTTTTATTCAAGAATGTTCTGGCATTTTGCAAACATTAACCAATTAGTTTCTTACCACACCTCCAAGGGCAGATCCTAATTGTAGGTTCACTTTGATACTTCCAGGACCAACAGTTTCTGGGAATGGGTTAGGCAGGAAGAAAAGAAAGGAAGGAAGGAAGAAGGAGAGGGAAGAAAAAAAGAAAGGAAAGGAAAGGAAAGGAAAGGAGAGGAGAGGAGAGGAAAGGAAAGGAAAGGAAAGGAAAGGAAAGGAAAGGAAAGGAAAGGAAAGGAGAACCTGGAGTGTCAGAAACTCTTGTTCTTGGTCTGCATTTTAGGCAACTAGAGCCACACCTTAGGCTGGATGAGACTATTTTATGTACACCCAGTACCCAGAGCTTGTTCTTAAATGTGTGCTTCAATAAATACTTCAGGGGGGTTTATATGAAGTTTCCAGGAAGGACTCTGCCTCAGATTTCCCAGGGATGAGTGTCATAACTAAGAGGGATTTTCGCCACTCCCTGTGCTCCCAGCTCTACTGAACTGGATTTTCCCCAAACACTGCCCCTTCACTTGCTCTCTGCCTTCCCCAGGCTATTCTCTTGGGCTGAAACACCCTTAGGGACAGGCCCTGTGGCTTGTTCAGTTGTTAGCCAGACCCCATATGGACAACTTTCATTCCAAAGACCTGGTGTATATCCAGTGGGGGAGCTGGGGAAAGTACTGAAAAGACAGCTGCTGTCCTTGGACTTCAGTGTGCTAAATAAGAACAGCTCACAATATTCCCTGCCATGCCCCCAGAGCCAAGTGAATAGTGAATGCCTCCTACAATTCTGACACCAGGTCCAATGTGGTTCACACCAAGAACTTCTGCAACTTGTAGGATAGCTGGGTGTCCTACAGTTTAACTCAATTATGATACTGTCTACCTGGAGATAGCATCAGCTCCAATAAGTTGAGGGCTCAATCCTACAAGATTGCTTCCTCCTTCAGATGACAATCACAAGACCAGATGTGTCACCTGTGCTTCTGACCAACTGGCCATAAATCTGAGATTTCAAAGACCCCCTACTTGAGGTTGATTAATTTGCTAGAGCAGCTCACAGAACTCAAGGAAACATTTTACTTACTAGATTAATGGTTTATTATAAAAGGATATAACTCAGGAACATTCATATTGAGGAGATGCAAAGAGGGCAAAACTGGGTAAGGGGTATAGAGCTTTCAACTCTTATTTGTTCAAAATTTTATAGAGTTTATTCTGCTAGCATAACATCACATACTGTTCTATAATAAACTTTTTTATAAGTAGAAAGAATACATCCTAAAATAATGATAAAATAATAGTATAGTAAATACATAAACTGGTAACATAGTTGTTTATTATCAAATATGATATACTATGCATAATTATATTGCTATACTTTCATATGACCAGCAGCACAGGAGGTTTGTTTACATCAGCATCACCACAAACACATGAGTAATGAATGCACTGTGCTATGACATCACTAGGCAATGGGAATTTTTCAGCTCCATTATAATCTAATGGCACCACCAACATATCTGTGGTCCATCGTTAACCAAAATGTTGTTATGTGGCTGATGACTATACTTAGTTTTTCTTTTGGTGAAACAAGAGAAAAACATAAAACAAAATCTTCTTCCTTCTTAGCTCACTGGAATGGGCTCAGTTGTTTTCAGTTAGGAGTGTTTGGAAGTATCAGGAGGTATACTTTTAGTTATCTCAGTTCTAGGATGTGCTACTAGCATCCAGTGCCCCCTTGAGAAATGTTGTTGACTTTGTTCAGTAGGAACTTCAGCTGTGCCAGTCTTTTGAATTCTTCTATTGTACATGTTGAAGTCTAGGAGTACTCCTGTTGGTATTTTATAAGGGTTGACTGGATGGGGCAGATGCTGTGGCATGCTGTTGTAACATTTCCTGGGGAAAACCTTGACAGCTCTTTTTGCCCTCCCCTGAAGCTGGTCCTAGACACACAGGTTTGGGGTGCAGTGCTGCAGCACATACCCAGTGGATACTGGGTATGATGTACACTCACTTGGTGAGCAGACTCAAGAAGACTTTCCTGTTTCCATATCCTGGAAAGATCTTGTTCATGTTTTTTCCAAGAACAAAGGAAGAAACTTACCTGATCTGATGTGTCCCTATTGAACCTTTATATTCATCTGAAGAGTCCCCACAGTCACATAAACCTTATCACCACTCTTCACCATAGCTTAGTTGAAAGGCCAGGACAAATAAAATATATGTAATTTCTTTTCATTCACCAAACACAGAATTTATGAATTTTTAATATTTTCACATTGAATGATGCCATCCTCTGAAACAAAAGTCTACACATAGTCAAGTATTCTCATTGCAGAAGACCATACCTTCCAGTTTTCATTAAGGTCAATGAAGGAAAGCTATGAAAAAGGTGCCATGTCTAAATATACTGCTGGTTGCTGCAAAGACAATTAGTTCACAATTTTCTGCTTTTCTTGTGAGTGATTAATGTAAGGAGAGAAGAAGACTGATCACTCTCATTCACAAGAAGCTCTGAGTTCAGAGGAAGTTGACTTATCTTAATAGTCAAAGCCCAGTTCATTGAGAGGTTCTATCATGTTTGTTTTTTTGTGGGAAAGCATCCTCTATTTTGCATTCTTACTTTTTATATTTGGCTAGGCACATTCCTAAATTGTTAAATACCCTTGTGTGTTAAGAGCAATGATATAATACCAATTTATAAATGTGAGTACTTATATAAGTTTAGATGTGTAAACACCTGTCTTTCATTGGCTTTCCTCAAAACTAATAAACTTCCAAGAAAGCCCTGACCAGTATGGCTCAGTTGGGTGGACATCCTTCCACAAAGCAAAAGGCTACAGATTTGTTCCTGGCCAGGGCACATGTCTGGGTTGCAGATTTGGCCCCTGATTGGGGCACATATGAGAGGAAACCAATTGATGTTTTTTTTTTCTCACATCGATGTTTCTCTTCCTCTCTTTCTCCCTCCCTTACCCTATTTCTAAAAATAAGTAAATACTTTTTTTTAATCTCCAAGAAAAATACTTTTCAATTTTTAAGAAACTTAAATTACATGAAACTGCTTTTGCCTGAAAGCTTTGGAGAGATCATCTATGAGTGAAGGTGGTTCTTTAATTTGGTTCAAATTTCTTCTAGTTTACATGAAGAAAAAGAATGATTGGGCCCATGCTGGTGTGGCTCAGTTGGTTTGGAGCATTGTCCTGTAACAGAACTACATGAGTTCAATTCCCATTCAGGGCACATACCTAGGTTGTGGGTTCAATCCCCATTCCAAGCATGTACAAACCCTGGTCCAGGTGTGTACGGGAAGCAACCAATCAATGTTTCTCTCTTGCACCAATGTTTCTTTCTCTCCCTTCCTCTCTCCTTTCCCCTCTCTCTAAAAACAATGAAAAATGTCCTTGGGTGAGGGCAAAAAAAATGATTAGGCATTTGAAATATGAACCTAATTTGTATATTTTGTAATTATATTCTTATGATGCCTTTTCTCTAATAAATGTGAAATAAAATAATGACCTTATGTAACCACAAAAATACAATACAGAATAAGGCAAATAATAAATGCCTAGGCTGGCTATGGAGAAAGGGAATTTCAGGAAGCTAGTAACAACCTTATTCCTTTCAAAATAGTATTTCTTTTTTCTTTTCAACTTCCACTATCATTTATTTTTCCTAGAATCTAGATACAATTAACTGTAGCAAGACAGTGCTCAATACTATTTAAGCCTCATTTTAAGTTCTTTAGACTATCTCAGCATTTGTAAACATGAAATCACATTTCAGTAAAAATGGAAACTAAAATTTGACATAACAAATTATTTCTATTCATCCATTAAGTAAGTTTTACTTAGTATCCACAATGCACCAAACAATGGGCTATGCTAAGAATAAAAAGTTGTATAAGACACAGCCTCTGCTCTCAAGAAGCTCACTTCTGGATAGTGAATGGGTATTTGCTGACATTTTTCTGATTTCTTTTGGGCTTAGGGAGTGCACTGCTGGCTGCCCCAGAGGCAACATCAAACCTTTCATGTATAGAGCATAAAACTCCATAGACTCCAACAGTCAGCCAGCAATACCCTGGTGAGGTAACGCTAAGTAAAGTTCTTTATTGTCCACAGGCATAGAAGCGTGAGACCAATAAAACTGTCTTATCCAGGAACTAATAAAACTGCTAGATGCTGTGACTCAGGCAGTTTGTCTAAAATATCCCAAATGTGGGAATCTGCCCAAGGGATCACCCAGTCACACCTCAGAGTTGTGGATACTTTTCAGGGTACAAAGCATTTTCTCTTGTGCTATTGTGAGACTCCTGTGACATATAGGGAAAACATAATCATTACCCATATTTTACAGATGTGGAAACTGTGATACTCAATTATGAAATGACTTATCTAGGTGACCAAATCTGCAAGGGGGTCAATGGTCCAGTAAGGTAGACATTTTGCCTTCAATTTTATATGTTGAAAAATATTTAATGGGGAAATGATAGTCTTGTCAACAAATGGTGTGGCAAAACTGAATAACCACATGCAGAAAGATACAAATTGGATCATTATCTTACATCGCTTACCAAAATAAACACAAATGGATTAAAGACCTAAAAGTAAGTTCTGATATAGTAAGATTCCTAGAAGAAACCATAGGAAAGAAGCTTCTTGACGTTGGTCTTGGCAATGATATTTTTTATATGACACCAAAAGTATGAGCTTCAAAAGAAAAAAAAATCAAGGGGACTACCTCAAACTAAAAAGCTTCTGCACAACAAAAGAAACAATCAATAAATTAAAAGGCAT